AGGCCAGGGCAGGGAATGTCCAGGAGGAGCCTGGGAGAGCATGAGAGTATGAAACCACAAAATCCAAACTCAGGACGATGGGAACGTGTCCAAAATCTTCAGGGACCAATGGAAAGGGAAAAGAGCCCTGAAACTGGCCCCAGCTGGAACACTGTGAGACACAGACACAGATAACGGAGCACTGACTCAGCACCCAGAGTGTTCACGAAATATGCATGAGCTCATAGCGAAGTGGCTGAATAAATACAGAGCAAGTTCCTGCGGAGAAGCTCCTTTGCAGCACGCCCTGGGGACCCGGCCAGAAATGCCCAGGAGAGAAAAATCTCCATTGGGCACTTCCCCTAATAGCCCCCCAGCCTCTGGCCTGCTCTAGGCCCTCCCAGAATGCACCAGGAGTTTCAGACCGGCGGACTCCCCCATTAGGAACCCCCAGTTCTCCTGCATTCTGTGCCTCCACCCACCCCCGCTCCAACTTTCAGGCACACAGACAGCAGGAGAGCACATGGCACGACCTTAGGAGTTGTGCAAGTGGTGGAGGGCAACTGCTGGTGGAGTGATGCTACAGGCCACACCCGGTCTTGAGGGCTGCCCCTGACTCATGCTCAGGGGTCATTCCCAGGGGCATTCAGGGCACCAGCAGGTGGAACCTGGGAAGATACCCCAATCCCTTTCCTATGTCTCTGTTTCCTTGGGCTGAGCAGGAAGGAGATTTTGGTGTTTGCTATTCTGTCTTCTTGAAACTGGGTTCCCTCTAAGAGTTCGACACAAGAGCTCTTCCTTTTATGTTCTCCTGACTCGCACTTTCCCCACCCTTGGACTAAGCCAAATGCCCATTGCAAGAATAACCTGCATACCCTGGCAGTTTCCTTTTTCTCTTGCTTCTGTTCAGTATTCCACATTTCAAAATAGTCGTTCTTTTCTTGCCAAGGTTTTTGGACTTTATTATTATTATTATCGTCTGACAGGATGATGATGATGATGATGATGATGATAATGATAATGATGATGATGATATGATGATTTGGTTTGACTGACACATCCTGCAGTGTCCAGGGAGAGACAGTATAGGGTATAAAGCTCTTGCTTTGCACGTGGCCAACCCCAGTTTGATTCCCAGCACTCTATATGGCTCCAGGAGTGATTCCTTAGCACAGAGCTAGGAATAAGCTCTGAGCACAGTCAGGGGTGGCCCCAAAACTGGAAAGCAGAGAGGGGGGAGGGAGGGGGAAAGAGAGAGAGAGAGAAAGAAGAGAGAGAGAAGAAAGAGAGAAAGAAAAGAGAGAAAGAAAGATGGGGAGAGAGAAAGAGGAGGGGGGAGAGAGAAAGAAAGAGAGGAGAGAGAGGGAGAGAGAGGAGAGAGGGAGTAAAGAGAGAAAGAGAGGGGGGGAGAGAAAGCAGAGAGAAGGGGAGAGAGAGAAAGAGAGAGAGAGAGAGAGAGAGAGAGAGAGAGAGAGAGAGAAGCTGTGTCAGTGGTCTCTACCATTTACTGGAGTCAGAACCACAAGTTAGGAGTAGGGAGGGGACAGGGGAGAGGGAGGACAGGGCAGGTTCGCAAGAACCCAGCCCAATCTGTACAAGCTTAAGTAGGGCTTTGAGCCAGCTGCTGGGATCAAGTGTAGCCTGGAGAAGGAGCAGAGTCTGGGAATCTGCCAGAGCTGGGAGAGCCGGCAGGATCCTCTTCACTGCCAGGAGGGCAGAAGGGGCCAGAACATACGCTCTTAAAACCCACATTTATTCATGATTTCTTCTTCCTAATACCCCAGTGCCATTAAGTACTAAAAGATTCCATTTTCACAGACTATCCTCCTTCACTGGCGAGAATAAAAAGGAAGATCCTTTTTCAAAACACCATCATTGTGCTCATTATGAAACAGAATGCAACTAATTTTTTTGGAGCCCAAACAATAGTTAGATGCTAATGAGAGCCGGGGACACATTGTCTGGGAAAGCAGGAGTCATAAAAGCATTTAAAAAATAAATATAAAAGGGACCTTTTTATGTGGAAAATGTAGAAAGCGCAGAAGAGTTATAAAAGGGGGAAAAATCTCTAGGGCCACATCATTTAGTGGAAAGGGGTGATGTCAGGATGATTTGGGGGTTGGCCTTAGGCCACTAATGTTCTGGACCCAGAGATTCTCAGCCTTGTCATGGGCGCTGTTCTGACTCATTAAAAGGTGTCTGCAGAGTGAATTCACCGACAGTATAACACAGTGTTACGCATATAGTTGATTTAGTCATGGCGTGAATGTTCAACCTCTTTTGAGGAGGAATTCGGGAGCCGCATCTGTAGTGCTCCGGGGATACCCTTGGCTCTGCACTCAGAGATCACTCCTGGTGGTGCTCAGGGGACCATCACAAGTGCTGGGGATGGAGCTGAGATCCACTGCATACAAGGAAAACGCTTTAACCCCTATACTATGAGCCTTTTTCAAATGAAAAAACTTCAAGCTTAAAGTTGCTGCATTGTCTAGTCTTCTATCTCTGAACAGATTTATAAAAAGTGGAGTGGGTCAGTAGGTCAAAGACTCCTATTTCTTTGAGGTAAAATATTGTGTGTGGTGCTGGGGTTCAAGCCCAGAGCCTCACATAGGCAAGGCGAGTATTTCTCTGCTAAGTGACATCTCCAGAGAGCTGAGGTTCAAGTTCAACGGTTAGCAGTGCACTGTCAGGAGCTTAGTGTGCTGGACTTGTCCCACTTCTAACATGCGAGTTGCTCCAAATCAACATGTCAGTCTTTCTGGCTGGCCCGGGAGCACTGGAATTGGGATGGTCTGAGTCCTGGGACACCCCGAGCGGTGTGAGTTTCTGATCTCCTGGGTGGCCCCAGGCATGGGGTTTTCCAAAGAGGAGATATAGGAGCTGGCTCCCACTATCGGCCTGGGCTGGATGTGGGCACTGGAGCCCTTTCATGACCACGTCAGGTACGGACACCCCATCCAGACGAACTGCTAAGCCAGCTAAGCCGAGTTCTAGAGGGAGGTCAGAATGTGAGGATTTCACTCTGCAGTAGGACACCACAGGAAAGGTCGTCTCTCCACAGCTTTGTACATGGCAAGTCCCGGACTGTAGATTTGGTGCTCGGCAGCTATCAGGACTCGTCCCAGGTACTCAGCTCACCTTTGAAGGGGAAGAGCAGCCCTGCAATGTGTAAGCCAATGGTCCTGGCTGCACTCGAAAGATAGAAAAGCAAAGGCAGAGCCATGCCAGGCTCATAAAGGAGGCAGAAGAAGCTAGGCCTAAGTTTCAGTTCCAGAATTCCTAGAACTGAGCAGAGATACCTGGAATTGAGTTATGATTTCCCCGAAGTAAGATAGCCATGGTGAGGTCAACTAAGGGTTACCAATCAGATACAGGTAGGGAAATCCCCCTTACACACACACACACACACACACACACACACACACAACTCTTATGCAACTCTTATGTAACTCCAATTTACAACCAATCAGCTAAGTACAAGTAGTAAAAAGCCCCTCAGACTGTGGCCAAAAGGATGGCCTGCGGAAAGTTCCTGTTATACAATGTTATGGTATAAAAGCCACTCACTTTTGAGAGTTGGGGCTGCCAAGAAGGCTGCCACTGTGTCAGTGAGCCAGACGAGGGCCCTAGCTCAAGTTAGCCAATAAAGACCCTTTGCTTATTGCATCGCAGCTTGTTTTCGTGTGACTCCTCTGGGGAGATCTCAACCCGGTTTAACACATCCTGATGGTGCCTTTTCTGGGACAACAGACCTGGAACTTGGCTGACTGGCAGGTATACCAGCCATGTGTGTGGCAGTGAGGTCCCGAGGCTTCCTTGGCCTGGTCTAAGGGTGTTCACAGAGGGAATGCAGGACAAAACAAGAAGTGTGTGGACAGCCAGATTCCCCTCTACAGAACTTTAGCCATTTTCTCAAGCCTTATCCTTTGCCACCTGCAACTCTTTATTAGCCCCCTACAATCTTGCAAGAGAATGTTTTATCCAACTTCATTTGTGTGTGTGGAGGTGAGAATGGGGGAGTGAAGTTTGACTGGAGAGAAATGGGATCTCAGGATGACAAATTGGTACTTAAGTTTATGCTGAGCTTTCTTTTTAAAAAGAAAAAAATAATGAGTTTGGTCTTTTTCTTTCTTTCTTTATTGCTTGCTTTTTGGTCACACCCGGCGATGCACAGGGGTTACTCCTGGCTCTGCACTCAGGAATTACTCCTGGTGGTGCTCAGAGGACCATATGGGATGCTGGGAATTGAACCCAGATTGGCCATGTGCAAGGCAAACTCCCTACCTGCTGTGCTATCCACTCCAGCCCCAGGTTTGGTCTTTTTCTTGCTGATGTATAGTTGTTCACGTAAGGAGTCGTGTCCTTCACAGGTATCCACTCCTTGGAGACAGTGATGGATAAATGACTATTAGCCCAAGGCATCTGGGAGTGGTCAAGTGTTGGAGAAGTGATTTTAAGTGAATCTTCCCATTGGGCATTGGAAATAAAAGTTTTATTCTTGGGGTTGGGCTGGAGAATGAGAAATGATCAGGATAGAAGGCATTCCAAACAATGAATTAACTTGAAAACTGAGAGAACAAGCAGAGAAGAGGGACTAGAAACTGAGGTGGAGGCATGTCAGCAGTTGAGGACTGAGGAGAATGGCTAGGAAGATGAGAACGAGCTGAAAAGAAAGCAACAGGCAGACTTTGGGGAAAGGCAAATGATGCAAGTATTTAAAGGAGGAAGGACACTCAGTCAAATACGGTTAGGGCTTATCAATCTAAAGGTCTGTGGAAGCAATCTTGTTCTTTGTGAGACTCACCTGGCTACTCAAGTGGAGGCAAGCATAGGCCAACGGCTGGATTTGACCAGAGCTATCCAGTAAGTATCTAGGATTTACAGATTGATCCTAAGAATCCTAGGACTGGGCTAAAGAGTTCTACACTTTAATAATCAGGAGTGCTTAACTTGTTAAAGTTTTTTATTTTGGGGGGGTGGGGAACCACACCTGAATGCAATCAAGGCTAATTCCAGGAAGGGCTCAGAGGTTCATAAGTGGTGCCAGGGATCGAACTTGGGTGAGTGCCTTACCCACTACACTCTCTTTCCAGCTCCTTACTGGAGAAAAAGTAGCAAAGCAGTGGGTTGGCAACCTAGGTATGATCAAAACCCAATTTATTGCACTCATAAATACATTACATGTACATTGATCATCCCAGAACTATTCCGGGGTGAATTCCATAAAGGGTCCATATTTTTCTAATTTAACAAAAGAAAGTACCGCACTGGATAAGTATTTCTTAAATTTTATTCCTAGTTGTCGACAATTCAAAGATGACAGACACCCGTTATGAATGGGTATATTAAATTATTCATATAAGGTAAAGAAGCCCAATTACTAAAGACTTTTCAAAATGTACTTCACTTGCCTACATCAATGATCTTCTATGATGTGGAATTTCTGATGTCTTTCCTGATGATATGTTACCGCAAGTTATAATTTATAAATTACAAAGAAAGTTTAATTTTGAAAGGAAAAGAAAGTGGTTGGTAGGCAAAATTAACAAATGTGTTTTTTTTAAAAATTGTATATGAAGTGATAAATTAGAGAATGGAATTTTTATACTAAATACTGCTTCTTTGTAAGACTCATAAATGACTTTTCTAGGTAAACAGAGTTTACTAGTCAGTAAACTCAGAAACTACAAAAGAGCTTTAAAAAGCATTAAATTATTTTAAAGGAATCTAGTCTTTTTATAAAATTTAATTAATCAGTAACTGATCCCTCTCCCATTACATGCCTTTTAGACATTTTGGTGCTTTAACCAAGATTGGACAGCAAAGGAGACATGAGACAGAACTCCAATTGGCCATCCTTTTTCTCAGTCAACCTCTACAGAAAAAGAACTAAATTGGGAAGAAAGAAGCAATGAAATGATCTAAGACATAAGGCCTTGATCTTTAGGCTACAGATTTCACCTGTCGGTTTCCCTTGGTCTTTAGAAATAACCATCATTGAGAGTCGGACAGACTCACCGTCCACCTTTATTATATGGTGGCTTCCCTGTCTGGCATCTGAACGACAGAGCACCTCTCCATCCATCATTTGGCACTCCTGGTACCTCTACGAGCTCATGGTGTGAGCACTGGCCTACCAGGACCAAGCTTCAGTCACAGCTCAGGGCACAGAGGCAGAGGTGGAGCTTCTCTGAGCTTCTGTCCCCTCAGTCCCACACAATCCGGAGCAGAATCTCCATCCAGCTGGTTTCACAGGTGCAGCTGGGAGTCTTCACCTCACAGAGCGTATCTCAATGTGCTTGGAATTCGTAATGCGCTCGGGTTGTTCGTAAATAGCTTTAACAATGTGGTTGGCCATGCATTTTTGTGTCAAAAAAAATGAAAATAGAAATCATTGAGAAGTATAAATGCTTATGAATCATAAGAGCCCAAAAGAAAATAAGTAATTTGTAAATCCTTTACAATAAAAAAAAAATCAAAGTAATGATTTCTGGATTTTTTTTAAATAAAAAAATCTTTGCAACTAAAATAGCCATCAACTTAACTTAATCATTCTTTCTTTTATAAGAATGTTCACTATGTGACATTATAACTCTCCAAAGGAGAAACTCTATAATTAGCTCAGCTCTCTGCTTTACAAACTTCTTTATAAAGCAGGAGAATGGAATAATTAAGATTTAAAATAAGCAAAAATATATAACTCTAACCCACAGTCCCTTGATTTGAAAGAGCTGAATAGGAGGAACACTTACCCAATAAATGTATACACAACCTACTGCTGACGTAACGTTTACACTAGCTCACAACTTAAACCATGAAGAGAGGAGTTCATGAGCCTTCTCTTCCCTTGTTAGTGCAATTAGTATCTGATGGTCTCGGGAGATGCACTGCATTCCTAAATATATTTATATGGCATCAAAATGCTTGCCCATGGAATAACCAAGGTTTTTGAAAATGCTCAGGATACAGATCCTAGCTTTAGAAAAATATCTGAGAAACAAAGAAGACATGTCCAGGTCTGAACAGTGACTGAAGTAACCCACAAACTTCTCTTTTAAAACAGTGTGCCTGATGCTTTCAATAGGCTTCTTTAGAAGGAAAAATCTATCATTTGGCTCATTCTAAATCTTAAAATAAGCAAACTTATCGCCTTTGCTATATTCAATGGCACTTTTTTTTAAATAAGAAGAAACCATTATAATACAGGTAATAAATACTAAATTCAGGGAAGGCAAAATTTCTGGACTGAATGACAGACGCATTTCAATGCAATGTGTTTAAGAACGCCAGTATAATGCTGGTGTTCTGGTAACATGAACTTTGTTACCAAAAATCCATCGTGCGGTTCTCTATTGAAGGGTCCCCTCCATGTGTGGTTGTTTCTCCCTCACACACAAGTACATGCATTGTTTCTCGCATCATCTTCTCTCCATCAAAGCTCAGGCTAGCTTTTGATTTGAACTATCAATTCTTTCGGAAAAAAATGCCAACAATCCTTTCAACACATCAGTGGTAAAAATACAACTCATTCCTCTTACTAAAGATCTCTTAGGATCATCCCGTGTTTTAAATGGTAACCTGCCACCAACTGTAAGAGTTGAATTAAATTAGCACTGGCACAGGGAAATTCACAGGTGCACATAAAAGGGAGTTTACCATATGTCCAGCAGAACACAGTTCATTGGGAATGAGTAGCTGGTAACTTTATCTCAGATGGCAGAGAGGTGGGCTGAACTGAAACCAGGAGAAGGTTGGCAGGCCCTTTCCTCTTTATGGTACACTTTGTAAGGAGGACACATCTGTGAGACAAGAAATACTCAACTGGAACTCTCCCTCCAGTCTTGCATTTTAAGTGACACAATAAGAAAGCACATTTCTGACTTGTCTGTGGCTTAAAAACTGTTCACTGTAAACATTCTATAATCTTTACTTATTCGAAGGGTTTCAGAGTTTGAGCTATCTAGGTCCCTGTCACAGGACCATTTATTCTAAGAAAAGTAGCACAAATACTGTTCATTCTGTTTCCTTTTTTTTTTAAAAAAAAAAAAAACATTAAGGCCATTTAATTGAATCAGAGCCAACTGAAGAGGACCCTGGGCACAAGTTCAAACTACGATTCCGAGATTTGTCGGGAAAGAGCTGGAAGAGTCTGTCTTGTATTTTCCTCCTTGGTCTCTTGAGGGCAGTGGGTGGGAGGGATTTAGTCTCCGACATCTCCATCTCGGTCGCCGATCAGCCAAAGGAAATGGAAACTCAAGGCTAGCAGAGCTGTCCCGAGCAGGTCTCCCAAGGCCGTGAGATAGGGGATGGAGAAGCTATCTGGGTCCTTGCCTTTCCTCCAGAAGTGATGCACCATCCAGTCAGCGATCCACAGCAAAGTGAACACCTGCAAGAGAGCACCAGAGATGACTCACAACGCCTGGGTGCAGGGCTGGCAAGGTATGGCTTATAGAGCCTGCCCTTACCTCCTGGCTTGACCAGGGCCACAAAAAAAGGTGAATGCCCCTGGTGCCAGGCATGCCGGCATCCTGTGTCCATGGCACTATTGACACTGATAAGTAGCTAATCTTATGTGGGTGCAGAGGATACCCCAAGGATGGAACCAGACTCACAAGGCAAACCAATGAGTCATCCCAGCCCTGATACATAACTGTGTTTATGATGCAGATGCCTTATAAGCAGAAACAGAATTTTTCCTCCCATTTTCACCGGTCTGTAGATGCAGAAGAGGCTGAAAACATCATTCCTCTCTGAAAGGTAACAGCGGGATTCAAGGACCAAGAGATATTTCATTGATGGGAACAATTTCTTTTCATGAGAAAAAAAAATACAAAACTGCACATCTCTGAAATTAAATAAAATTTTCTTCCGCTTCTCTAAATAACCACAAGAATCCCCCGACTTAACAGGATTGCAGATACTGCTAGATTTCAATGCTTTCTATGTTGTGAAGCAGGAAGACAGAGAAAAAGGAAATGATTTCACATTCTCTGGGTACACAGGTATGGCATATAAAATAAAGGTGGGGAAGTGACCATTCATTGGAAACACTATGGCAGTAGAGGGTTTCTAGTCTCTGTGAGGTGGTCAGACTAATAACCCAAAGGTAAGTGTATTCGGGACTGACATGCTTGGAAAGGTTTAGGCACAGTGAGTCAAAATACTCTAGAAAGTTATTTTAAAGCTATAGTGGCACGGCATGTCTTTAGACACTGCAAATATGAAGACCCTGTAAGCCCTGGTTTGCAGGTCAGAGGGAAGGTTTCCTTTCACCCACCTCAAGTAGGGAAGGTTTGCTTATTTTCAACCTCTTGCAGCATTAAAAGGGATGTAAGATTTGTGTGGTTAACGATCCCTGGTATTGGACAACTTGGCCAGCATAGCAGAGAGGCAAAAAGCACTTTTCTGCCCACTCATTGACTGCACGATTAGTTTGACATCTCTGTTTCTCGGAATGAACATTAAAGAGACACCTCCCTCATGAGAATACCATGAGGCCGAAGTCATCCAGGGCCGGGGACGTGGTCCACTTTCTCTGGATGTCTGCTGTTAGCAGCCGTAACGGCGTCACTGCTGTGACGATTCATGGTCTCTCCGGAAGCAGAGGTTGTTGAGAAGGGCAGTGAAGGGCCAACTCTCTGTGCAGAGGCTGCACCAATGCTTGTCACCAGCTCAGACAACTAGGTGGTGGCAAAGTGTCTGCCTGAATGCCAAACGGCTATATGCTATAGTGTAGCACCTTGTTCTCAACCTTTTTTTTTTTCTTTTTGGGACACATTCAGTATAGCTCAGGGGTTATTTCTGGCTCTGCTCTCAAGAATTACTCCTGGTGGTGCTGGGGAAGCATTTGGAATGCTGGGGATTGAACCTGGGTCAGCCGTGTGCAAGGCACTGCTATGGCTCCCGCCCGTGTTCTCAACCTTTATCCAGCCATAGCTCCCTACTGACCTTGCATGCGGCCCCTGGCCTGTCCCTTATCCTGCCCCCTGGCACCCAGCAGACTAGTCACTGCCTGGTCTCATGCTGTGTGATTCTCCATCAAGGTGATTTTCATCTGTTTCCCTTTATAATATTCTAATATCTACCACTTAGTGGACACTTTTACAGGAAGAACAGCAGCTTGTCCACACAGAGAGATGGACACTTTTTCCAAAGGTGTGAACACTTTCGCACGCCTATCAGAGAAATCCATTTTCTTTTGCATGAAGTTGCTTCTCTTTGGCAAAGACTAGCTTGGCATCCTAGCAGGTTTTACCACAACAATCTGTTCTGCATATGCAGGAACCTCACCTGGGGTATTACCAAGAATTCCAGGGGCTGGAGTGGTAGTACAGCGAGTAAGGGGCTTGCCTTGCACACAGTCAAGCCGGGTTTGATCCCCAACATCCTGTATGGTCCCAAGCACCGATAGGAGTGATTCATGAGTGCAGAGCCAGGGAGAATACCTGGGCGTCGCTGAATGTGTTCCCTTTCACCTCCCCAAACAAAAAAAGAATTCCAGACCTGGAAGTTCAAAGATCTTGACATGCCTCTGAAACAAGTATCAATAAGTAATAGTGAGCATGATGTGATTTCCAGTTCTGACACTTTTCGGCTACCTGGCTTTGGATCAAACCTGGGTTGGCCACGGGCAATCCAAGTGCTCTACCCACTGTACTAACTCAATTACTCCCCCCCTTTTAAAAACAGGGTATATTCCTGGTGATACTGAGGGTCACCAGTGCCACACTTGGGGTGCTGGGGGTGAAGGGTACACATTCCAGATCGAGCTTAGGATCTCAAACATTCCAGGCATGTGTTCTACTGAACTCCCCACACCCTTCCTACCCAGAAGATGGAGATTCTCCAAAAAAAGGTTACAGGAAAAATTCTCTGTGACTGGAGTGTACATGGAGACGCAAGAAAAGAGAAGTTGTCTGGCTGAATGAATAATGTGTGCAGGAGGGAATGTTCCTGAAGGGAATGAGGCGAGATAACTCCTTTGGGAGAGACAGGGTAATAAATGAATCTATATATGAACTGTTAAATAATAACAATATATTAAGTGTGCTATGTGCAATTTACTAATTCCTTGTATAACAACTGCCTAAAAGAAAGATTCCAAATGTTTCCAAATATGCACACATTTCCAAATTTATTTGGCCTACTGTCCCCTTTCCAGGGTGCAGGGTGGGGTGGGGGGAAACCCAGTGGAAAACCTTTTTCCTTTCAGTAAACAAACAGAAAATGCCCCTGAACCTCACCTGAGGCTACTAACCACACTAGGACCCTTGCATTGTTCCGGACCCTCCAGGGGGCGGTACTGCCCACGCCTGACCTTTGTCATACCTATAGGCCCACCTCCAGGTCTCTTGCTTCCTCATTCACCCACATGAGATTAATCTCCCAGATAACATCTCCCCTCATCAAATCTCACAATTATACTTCCTGTAACTGGGTGGAGATGGGTAGAGAGGGAAAGGACCAATTCCCAGCCTAATTCCTCAGTCTCATGGGCTGGGCTCACTACAAAGATTCACCTTCAGTGCAGCAGGATTACACTAACCCGATGGGAAAGATACACGGAAGCCCACTGAGCCCAAGGAGTGAAAACAGTGACACCCCAGGCTCAACCAGCACCAACCAGCTCTACACACTCTCCGAGAATAACCTCGGGGACGCCACATCTAAGGTGTTCCATGAGCTTATTGCCTCTTTGCAAACCACAACACCCAATAAGAGAAAGAGAACAAAAGGGAATGCCCTGACACAGAGGCAGGGTAGGATGGGGGGGATGGGGGTGGGAGGGATACTGGGATCCGTGGTGGTGGGAAATGGGCACTGGTAGAGGGATGGGTATTTGATCATTGTATAATTGAAACCCAAGCACAAAAATTTGTAAGTCTACAACTGTACCTCATGATGTCTCACTAATAAAAAAAAATAAAAATATCTGTATTATGTAAAGCACCATATAAGTATCTACCAAAATTGTTTATCAAATAAAAATAAATATCATTTTATGTAAAAAAAAAAGGGGCTGGAGTGATAGCACAGCAGTAGGGCGTTTGCCTTGCACGCAGCCAACATGGCCGATCCGAGTTCGATTCCTCCGCCCCTCTCGGAGAGCCTGGCAAGCTACCGAGAATATCTCGCCCGCACGGCAGAGCCTGGCAAGCTCCCCATGATGTATTCGATATGCCAAACACAGTAACAACAAAGTCTCCAATGGAGACGTTACTGGGCCCGCTCGAGCAAATCGATGAACAACGGGAGGGCCTTTATGTTAAAAGAAAAAAGGAAAAAAAAAGAAACGATGGCACAGGCAGTCAACAAAGCACGAGAAAGCATGAGTGGAAATGAGGAAATTACGCTCAGAAGTGACAGAAATGACAAGTATGGTAGGTGATTTATAAAAAACCCAACAGAAGGTCTGGCCAGCAGAATAACAGCAGCCGAGAAGACAGTCAAGAAGCACCAAGATGAGAGAGAGGGAACCTCCAGAGACAACAGAATATGGAAGAGTCTAAAAAAAAAAGAAGTGGGTCCTTGCACAGAAAGGCATGTGCCCCTCTCACTGGTCTCTCTAGTTACTGCTTTAAGAAGGTAAAAACCCACCATATTGTATATGCACTATATTTTACATACTGCTTTCTAAAAATCACTTTTATAATCTAAAAAGAAAATCATGCTGGGCCAGAGTAACTGTACAGTGACTAGGGCATCTGCCTTGCATGTGGTCAACCCGGGTCCAATGTGGTCAACCTTGGCACCCCATGTGGTCCCCTGAACCCACTAGAGAGATCTCTGCGCGCAGAGCCAAGAATAAGCCCTGGGCACTGCTGGACGTGACCCAGAAACAAAGAGACAAACATAAAAACCAAAACCCCCAGAACCAAATCATGCTTAGATTTAGTATGACTTCTATCATACTAAATTTCTATCATACTAAGTATCTTCAGACTGCAGAAACTAACAAAGATTTATATGCTGAATAATTAGAATCACAGAGAACTCCAGTTCCCAAGGAAAAGAAATGATCCAATAAAAAAGGAAAGGAAATGTGAAGCACCAATGAACTTATGAAAGAAATACAACTTCATGCAACTATTAAAGGAATGCCTTAAGACCACAGTGAACTCCATTTCATACCCATCTGGCAAAAATCAGCTTTAAAAGAGCAACAATAGTGAACATATTCTTTTACATGGCCATTAACAGGGCCATGAAGCGTACCAAAACAAGCTCCCATGAATAAACTGACGTTCTTTAGCATATAAAGGGCCCCACTCCACGACTAATCTCAGAGAGAAGCCTAGCTGCTGGATCATCCCAGTTCCACAGCTCTTGGAGTATATACAGCCACGTACGTGACCAGGCAAGACATCCAAGTTTCACAGTTCTGAC